CTCAAATCAAAAACAATAATGGCAACAGAAACAAACATTAAAAAAAAAAATTCCCAGTAGAATTAAACAAGGAGGAAGGTCCTGCCCCACTGGAAGGAATGATGAACACTGGCTACCCCCTGAAGACTGAAAGGCAGGCAGTTGGAGGAGCTCAGGAGTCCTGTCTGCACAGCTGCCTGCCTGCCCCACTTTCACTCAAGCTTTGCCTCTCACTGACATCTGAAAATGCAATAGGGAGACTGTCAAACTGCTGACGCTCCTCACAGCAAAGCAGAAAATGAGGGGTGCTGCTGTCCTGACACCTTCACTTCCGTGGTCCAGAAAACACCCCACCAGCTGCTCTTCCAGTGTCCCACTGTCACTGTTGGGAAATCTGTGTGGCACACTTGGTTGGGATATTTTGAACCCAAGCTGGATTTCCCATAACATTTTCACAGATCTTTATATGTGAACCGTAATGCAAAGACTCAAAGTGGATAACAGCCTGATCAGTGTCAGCCAATCAGAGCCTTAATCAGTCAGGATGGGAACAGATGAGCTATCAGGCCACATTCAAGCAGTCACTTGTGCAGGAAAAACGCACATTTTAAAGCCATTCTAAGACACATGAACAGAACACAATTTGACTTTTACAACAATGCCAAAAAATATTACTGTACAAGAGACTGTAATACTTGTACTTACTTTTGGAATATCCGTTTCTGTTAGAGGAGTATAGATAGTATTTAACTTAAAAAATTTTAATGTCAATTTAAGTTTCAGAACTTTAAATGGAATTTTGTGTTTTAGAGTTACAAGTCTCAAATATTTCTCAGAAAAATGAGTAGGAATTAAAGCCAGTATAATTCTTAAAATAAAAATAAAAACAGGTAACAAAAAGGAGGAAAAGAAATGAAGAGAATCTAACAAACTGGTGAGCCACAAACATTAAAACTATGAAACAATCACCCAGAAGCCATGGCAGACAACAACAGTAAAACAAAAATGCTTCCTGTATTATAGAATTTTACCAAACAGAAACTACCACACAAGCCAGACAGAACCCCATCCTAAGAAGATGTAAGGGCATGCAGAAGATAAAAGCACGTGGCTGGTTTCCTGGCTAGATGTGCCCTGGCCCTCCTTTCTTGGGCTTCACTCTCAGGAATCTAGCATTCACAAGAGCCAACAGATTTCTTTCTAGCACACACAAAGTCCAATCCAACAACCACCCCTACTAACAAATCATGTAAAAGCTATGTAAGACAACTCTTGGAGCAAATGGTGACACCCCAGCTGGCTGCAGCAGCACATGCTCAGACTAACTGAGGATGAACAGTCACCTTGGGGCATGCAAGCTTAGGAGAGACAACTCATCTCACTGACAATGAGCTCGGGGCCCTCACATGTGCTATGAACATGCTCAACCCCTTTTCAGGCCTTTTCAGGCCTAGTTCTGTGCTTAATTCCAATGAAAACTGGCTGATAAATACCCTCGGTCCTCAGTGTACACATGAATACTGGAAAGGGCCACCTCTGCCTCTGAGGACAGCTTTCAATCTGCTCAGCGTCCATCTCAATGTGAATCACTTAATTTACTGTCCCAGGCAATTCAGGACACAGAAATACCAGGTGTCGTCACCTTAGCTGGGATAGAGTACATGGTAAGAACATCAACAACAGTGCACAAAAAAGAACTTTCCAGATCTGAGCCTACAAATTTCAGGACCCATTCTAAGGCAGGCTCACTGGCACTGTGCTGACAGGACACATGATAAACAGTCAACAGCCCACAGAATCGAGACCATGTGCTCAGCCAAGTCTATGAAAGCTGACAGAGAAACCCCACCCACCAACTCTTTACTATATCCAGTATTCTCAATGATGTCACACGTGACAGGGACACACATGCAGTAAATGAAGACTCAAGTGTAAATTCACACACACTTACTAAAGCACACCCAGAAGAGAAACACACAGAAACCATTTCAAACTATAAAGCTCCAGTGCTCACACATGTCTGTTTTCACCTGTCACTTAGAGACACAGTCACTCTCGCTGAATCTCAATCTACTTAAATAGTCACTACAAGGGTTCACTTAAATCACAAACCCTGGAAACTGAGAGGTACTGCTGTTGTTCCAAAGACTAAACTATGCTTACGCCATCATCAGAGCAGCTTTTGGACCTTACTAGCTCCTAAAATCCTAATGTAAAACACTGCCTGGTACACACGAGAGCCACTGAGATGAACTGTACTTCTTAGGTTAACCATGAGCAACAAACACTCTTGTTTTACATACACTGCTGCTACACAGAACAAGCAAAAAGCTTTTTTCCTTAAAATGTTTCAATACACATAACAATAGGATTAAAGAAACAAAGAAAGAGAGAGCCTTAGAGTAATGAGACATTACCTTTGGAGCGCACGGTGTAACACTCTTTCTGTAAATTTTACACAAAAATGGCAAGAAATAAATTGTAATACACTTTTAAGACAAGACTGAATCTATGTTTTAATATCAATATAACTTTGAAATTAAAATTTTAGAGTTTTATGCAAAGCAAGAAAGCTTTTTAAAATGGAGGGCTCTAAATTTTCTTTCACAAGATGAAAAGATGAATTTTTTTTCAGAAAAGCCTTGTGGAGATCTTTTCAGACCCGTGGTATTTTAATGGTAACAGCTAATAACACATTAAAGCTCCAATTATAATACCAGAAACTAGCTACTCCATCTTTCTCAAAAAGGTAATGCATCTTGAATATGAACACAGATGTACAAATCCAAATACTGAGAAGTGGGAACTTTCAGTAAAAAGCAAAGATTCCCACCCCATCCCCCACAAAAAAAGAAACCAAGTTCAGATCATTCAAACACAACTTGAGAAACTTAACTAATTCGGTTAAGACTTCTGCTTTTCAAACCCATTTTTTGGTTGTATATCATAACATCACAGAGCTGATTGTATATTATATATATCACACCCACTGGAGAATGATTTGGGTAGAATCTGGACTATGCTCGCTGCTTGCTGCATATACTCAAGCTGTGAAGTTGTTGGACAGAATGAACAAAAAGTCCTAAGGGCACAATTAGAACTTCAGGGACCTTCTCTTTGAGACTCAAAAGGCAACAGAGAGACAGTCTGAGAGCATGATGTCCAATCCTGGCCAAGGAGTTCACATCTAATCTGATCTTTCCCTTATGACCACTTTTTTTGAAGAATACACATTGATGAATTTTAACTAATGAAATAAAAAACAACCTATTACTATATAAACCAAAACCCAACTATACCACAAACAAAATTTGATAGGATTTTAGATCTATTAATTAAAATGTTGTAAAAGTAGATCAGAATCTCTCATATAGGCACTAATACATGCATCAGGGTCACAAAAGAGTTTTAAACCATGCAGTTTTCAGAGTGTAAAACAGAAAGGTCCCTCAGGCCTAAAGTAAGAGGGCACTAAAAACAACTACTCTAATGTCACCTTTGACATATAACTAGTTCCTTCACAGCCTGAAACTATGGCTGTCACAAAGCAGGAAACCTGTCTTCAGGCAATGGGCACTCATCCAGAATTAAAACTCAGCACTAATATAAAGGAAATATACACACATGATAACTACACACAGCACTTCTTCCTGACTGCTAATATGTATGTCAGAAAGCACTCAGTAAATCTAAGCCTGGGTGTCAGAAATGACATTTGATATTCAGAGAAAGTAGCTTTGAGTTCAAGTATCACCAACTTCTTTCCTCTCAAAAACTTTCTGAAATAAGAAGTTATGACTTCCCTAAAAACAGAGCCCAAAGCAACAACAACAACAAGAGTGGACCCTAGGGTCATGGCATTTACTGCCGTTTCCTCTCACGTAAACTTCAATGTGTGGATGAGCCATTTCTCCACCAAATTTACTTTTGCTTACCAAAAACACTCGATTTCCACCCTGGAGAGAGTGTTCCCCTGTCATTAGATGAAGGGCCATTTGTGAGTCTGATTCTTAAATGATAGAAAACAGCCCCACATCATGTGCCCTGCCTTACTTATGATGGCTACAATGAGCGGGACTAGAGACGTGGCTCAGAGGTACAAGCACTGCCTGCCTGCCTGCCTGCCTGCCTGCCTGCCTGCCTGCCTGCCTGGACCTGAGTTCACTTCCCTACGCCCACACGGCAGCTCACACTCACAACCAGCTGTGTAACCCCGTCTCAGGAGGTATGATGATGCCCTCCTCTGCCTCCAGAGGCATTGTATCCACATGGTACATAGACATACATGCAGGCAAAACATCCTTACACATAAAATAAAAATGGGGGGGGGGCTTCATGTATATAATCAACAGGCTGGGTGTGGAGGTCCTCAATTTAGAGGACTTCTGCCTAGCATTTACAGAATCGTTTAAGTCTGGTCACCAGCACTGAGAAAAAGAGAAAAAACAACAACAACAACTGTATTTCTATATTATCTTGTTTTCATAAAAATTATCATGACCAGGAATTGTGGTCAGTGACAGTCTATTCACTAAAGCTTTGCAGCCATAAAAGGCCTACACTGGGGCTGGAGAGAAGGCTCAGTGTAAGAGCACCAGATGCTCTTCCAGAGGACCCAGGTTCAATGCCCAGCACCTACCTATATGGTAGCTCACTACAATTCCAGTCCCAGCAGCTCCAACGCCCTCTTCTGGCTTCTGAGGGCACTGCATGCACATGGTACTGAGATATGCCGGCAAAACACTTATGTGCACAAAATAAAGTTGTTTTTAAAGGCCTGTACTGACAAATATTTTAGTAGCAGCTGAGGGAGTGACTGCTGCAGCTCCTGGTTTACACAAGATGAGTCCCAAGCCTTTTTGAGAAGCTTTTCTTACTGAATTAAATTAGGTAGCTATAGAGCCATTTCTTTTAAACAACAATGTTTGTACACAAATCATTCCATATATTCAGGGTCTTTCTATAAGACAGGCTCTTTCTATGACATTTTTGTACCAAAATGTTTATAGTTTATCTTAAAACAGGGCTATCTGGGGCCAGATGGCTTGGTGGGTACTTTACTGTGTAAGCATGAGGGACCCTAGTTCCGACAGCCAGCATTCACTATTACAATAATAGCTGGAGGGAGCAGGTTCCTGTAATGCTAGACCCGGGGAAGGCAGAGAACAAGGGGGGTGTTACTGGGATTTGCCAGCCAGCTATCCTAGGAGACTCTGGAGAGAGTTCTAGCTTCAATGAGAAACTGTCTCAAAAGAAGAAGTGTGTGTGTGTGTGTGGTGGGGTTGACAAAGAAAGATACCTGATGTCAACTTCTAACTTCTGTTCTCAAGTGCACTCGAGAATATGAACGCACGTGCACGCATAAAGACACAAGCTTTTATAAATACTAGAAAGATTTTAAAAAGAATCTCAGGGCACAGAAAAAACAGAACTATAACCAAGATCTCTCTCTCTCTCTCTCTCTCTCTCTCTCTCTCTCTCTCTCTCTCTCTCGTGTGTGTGTGTGTGTGTGTGTGTGTGTGTGTGTGTGTGTGGCTTTCTTGGACAGGATCATGTGATGTGTATACCAGGATGACCTGGAGCTCACTCTGCACTAAAATCCACAGCTGCTCTCCTTCCACAGCCACCCAAGTGCTGGAATCACAGGCATGAGCCACACCAAGACTTCCTGATAGCAAGGTATGTATTCCATCCCAGGAGCTGTAATGATGAAGTTATGAACTGACCTTTCTAATCATCGTTTTATAATGCTTTCCGGTATTCTCAATAACTACAGGCAATATAAACCAGCACCAGAATTATCACCAACAATGACAGGTAAACGAAAGTTCCCCAGCTGTCTTTTCTTTCTCAGCAGTGTCTTGCCTCTGACACTTAACCACAATGACTCACAACACAGTGCTCATGCCCCTGGAGCATGCAGTCAGCAGCTTTCTTATCCCAGCATGTGAGAAGAGGCTCTGGAGCAGCCTGGTCTGGACATGTTTTCTCTTCCTTATTTAGCATTTCATTCTCTATAGAACACAAAACAGCTTTTACCTGATTCATCCATTGCTTCACTTGTTTTCTGCAGTGCTATTGACTGAGCCTATGTCCTTGTACATACAAGATAAGCTTTCTATCACTTCCTACACTATAGCATTTATTGCCTTTTTTTTTTTTTAAATACTTGGCCTAAAAAAATAAACAGAAAATGACAAAATGAGTAAACACTAATGGTTTGACTTGGTGAGTGTGGTCCCAAGATTCTGAATTCCTTCAAAACCGTTTCCGTGTGAACTCATCTTATTCCTTAGTGCTTGAGGGGGATGGGGCCACGTTATTTCCTTCCCACATGTGAGCAGCACTACCCCCCAAACACAAACACCCATTCACACAGCAGTCAACAGAGTTAGTTAACAAGTAAATTACAAATTTACTTGTAAAGAAAACCTCATCTTCACTATATATGATCATAAGACATGCATCTGCTAAGATATATTTTCTCTTCACACGCAGTTTGAGCCACTGAAAACAATACATGTAAAATTATAGTGATGACAACAGTGTACACCTTAGGAAGGGAAGACAATGGTCAGTGCACAGAGCACAGTAATCCCCGAGGGACTGCCATATGCCACAATGACAGCACCAAATCAACTCCTCAGAAACTGCAGTAGACTTGAGGGACACAAACGGAGTACCACTTTGTACAGATGTTTTACAGGTTCTCGCAAGACCAAGGAAACAATCTCTAAGACACATCTGAAGTCTCTCCTTTAACATTACCCTTCCTTTCTGTTTCAGAACTGCTACTCAAGGTACCACACAAAGTGTGTGATGAAAGAACAAAAGCCCAGAGCTGTTCCAGGAAAACCACTGGGTAGGCCTCATCTATGATTACACACAACTAAAGACAGTACATTATTCTTTTTACTATTTCCAACTCCAAAAGGACATTGGCGTGCAAGATCCAGAGTTTCAAAGATTTCTCCTTTATTGGCTACCATCTCCTTCTTTGTATTTATCCTTTCTGTGAAAGCCAGGGTATCTTGTTCAGAAATGTGAACAATAGTTTGATTTTATCTTGCAAGTCATGGAAACTGGAATTTTCAGCCAGCACAAAAGCAGCACATGGGCACACAAGTTACTTAAAAAAAAAAAAAAAAAAAAAAAAAAAAAAAAAAAAAAAAACTTGGTGCGTGGGTACAAAATGTTCAATTACCTCCAAGACTGAGAATTCCTCTCCACAAGGAAGTTTCAAATAAATTTTCACCAAACTAAAGATGGAAATTTTTTTTTTAGAATTTTTTTTTTTTTTGTAAATGTATACAACATTCTGCTTCCATGTATATCTGCACACCAGAAGAGGGCACCAGATCTCATAACGGATGGTTGTGAGCCACCATGTGGTTGCTGGGAATTGAACTCAGGACCCCTGGAAGAGCAGTCAGAGCTCTTAACCTCTGAGCCATCTCTCCAGCCCCTAGAAATTTTTTTATCATGTATTCAGTGATTTTACTGCTATCTAGAGTTAATTATGAAAACGAGCTTAATTTTTTTACTCCTAACTTACTGATTTAAAATTTTCATTTGTCGCTCGTCTTCAAACAGCCACCAAATGCAAAATTAGGCCATACAGAAAGCAGTAATGCCTTTACTAAATGTTCCTAGAGATCTAGTAGCTATTAAATGATAAGGTAACAGAGGTTTATATAAATAAGCTAAGTATATGTAATAGAGGCAAGAAACTGCTACTACTGCTAAGGCAAATTTTAAATGTAATGATATAATAAAAAAGAAACTTTAGAGCCCTCAGATGTCACCATCCTGACCAATGAATTGTTAGTTTTTCATGTTCACAGTTCAGATAAGCTTAAAAATGGAAACAGAGGACTTAGAGCAAACAGCTTTGACATGGATTTACTACAAAAAAGGTTTTGAAAATCTAACTCTTTACTTTGCACTGTCCCCACCCCGAACAGAACAAAGGTCAGGAAAAGGAAAGTACTGCAGTGAAAAGTAGTGAAATAACCATCTGTGGGGTCAAACAGTGCACAAGTGCGGGTCTCAGGCTCCCTCCCCCTAGCTCCAGCACCATTGCCTTCTACCAGCTCTCCATTTTTAGAACATCCTTAGGAACAGAATGCCCCTTATCTGAACTCTTCAGATCATGGTGGAAGTCTTTCAGACAAACTTCAAATGTGAGTCATTAGATGAACAACTGGCTCCTTTAAGGACAGGGAAGCGCCATTCATATTTATCCATTCACAAAGATGGAAAAGAAGTCATTTCTCCAACAGACATAGAGCGCCAGAGATTACTATCTAAAGCATTAAGCTGCATGCTGGACAATTATCTTTCATATTTTATATGATGAGATAATAAAAAAAAAGGTTTAGATAAGAATGTAATTAAAAGTATGCCAAAGGTTTTACTTAACAGTTTTTACATGAGAATCTAGTTTTTGGTTGTCCATGCATATATAAACAAGAAAAGGTATGTTCTTTAAAAAGTATTCATCGTCACTGTGTATGACGTCTATATGAGTGTGCAGGTACACGTGCAGATTAGAAGGCAACTTTGCAGACTTGGTTTTCACCTTCTACCTTTATGTGGGTTCTGGAGATCTAACTCAGGTCATTGGGATTATATATCAAGTGCTTTACTAACACTGAGCCATACAGCCAGCCCAAAAGGCACTTGACTCTTTGAAAAGAAATTTAGTACTTTAAAGTTTGTTGAGTAATATTACAAATTTTGGAAAAATGACAGCCAATGTTGGGTTACTCATTTTCCTATACCTCATTAGGAAATAATGTTATCTCAAAATAGGCTCATAGTAAGAAAGAAATCAAAAACAAAAACCTCACATAATGGTTTACCCAAAGCAACTTGTGCCTAGGGTCCATCATAGACAATGTTTTTTTGTTTGTTTGTTTTTTAAGGGTCTCACTATAAAGCTCTACAGCCCTAGCCGTCCTGGAACTCACTCTGTAGACCACATTGGCCTCAAACTCAGAAACTGGCCTGACTCTGCTTGCCAAGTGCTAGGATTAAAGACGGGCACCACCACATCCAGCAAGGAGGCTACATCATGGACATTTTTTTGCATGTTCATCTTGAGTTCATATTCCAATCTAGGTTTCTAACCTCAGCCTTCAAGTGAGGAAGAGGCTAAAAGTCAAACTCTTCCCTCACAAGGCCAGCATGTGTAGAAACAGTATGTACCTTCAGGTTGCACTTTTCAGTTCCATTCTTCAAATCCAGGATAGGGACTGAGTGCTGAAGCAGCCATTAGAGATTACAGTTACTATGTACATCAGAAACACAGAGCCAAACCAAAGCTGTGAGAGCCTGAGCAGCACAAGGAAGTCAGCCACCCATCTCTCTCATGAACAGCGCCTCTCTGTAGGAAAAGCTCAGCTGCATTACGCCTACTCACATGAAAAACTGGGAACCATTGGTATGTTTCCCGCGATTTGCCATTGACAAAAGGAACGCTCTGTCATGTTTGAGAATAAAGTTTTCATCTGTTTGAAGAAAACACAAACTTGTTAGCCTCCAACTATAAGCAGCTTTTGCAGTTATGCTCAAGTACTAAACTGAAAGCAAAAGATGAAATTCCTCTTCTGGTCAGTAAGACATTTGGCAATATTTAGAAAAAAAAATTAACTAATCAAATAACAAAAGCACAAAAAGGCTGAAAAGATACTAATTAAAGCCTTGAGGAAAAGAACAAGTATTTAACACTCTGTACAAACAGCCTTAGAACAGTCACTTCCAGCAGCAACACACTTAGCTAAATGATATAAACTACAGACTCTCAGGGTAGACCAGTCAAGACATTTTTAGAAAAATACCTACAGTAAATGTATTTCCTTCAAGTTTCCAATTAGCCTGACATATGAACTATACATAAGTGAGTTTTAATCTTAAATGCTTAGCATCTGCATGGTAAACTTATTTATTATTTATTGAAGTCAAGCTGGTCTATGAGAACAAAAATATTACATATATTACGTTTTAGGAAAATGTCAAACTATCGAAGGATCACAAAATTACCTAAGGAAGAAAGCTGTATGAAACTAACATTTTAAAAGGCAAAATACAATTTTAAGACACAACAGCATCTGCCACAAGGAACAGCCATATTAAAGAGGCCCACAGCATTGAGTGTAAGTTGCTACATGCCATTAGAACAAGCTACAAAGGGGAAAAAATTCTGCCATCACTTAAAGATGGCTTTAATTCAGTGGAAATATCTTTAAAACTAGACAGCCATATTACCCTGATGCACCCGATCTCCTCTAATATCAGAAGTTACGCAGAGTCAGGCCTGGTAAATATTTGGGAGACACATCTTTAAAACCAAATTTCCTTTTACATTCATACAAACAGATCTTTCTTTAGAACAAACAGAAACATAAAACTTTAAAGAGATGGTTACCTTGGGGACAGGCTTCTGAAAAAAAGTAGTGATCCATTTCCCCCAAAGGAAATATAAAAAACCATTATACACTGAAGCATTCAGAGCATCCAAGCCAGCAATGCTGGAGCCCACTCTAAATCCCTGCAACTGACTTTTCTAAGGCTTTTTGGGGAAGTGCAATAGTTAGACTTATGAAATGTTACTACTGTAGGAGTAAAATACAACCATAAAGTTCTAGTACACAGAAGAAAACATACAAACCTTTGAAAAAGGGAAAAATACCAATTTTTATCCAAAGAAATTCCTTGGTTTAGGGGGGAAAACCACAACTTGATTTTTTTCCCCCTTATGTAGAACTAATAACCAATTGTAAAGAAACAAAGGCACAGATACATGTATGAAATTACATAGCTTTTTCCCAAGCCTTCAAACAATACAGAAATCCAGCCACAACCTGACCAGACTGTCCATGGATTTATTAGGAGGGCACAGGGAGCAGAGTGGAGTTTGTGTTACTGAGCTTCGTTCTCTTACCTTTTCATTTTGCAAAAGACCACATTCTCTATAAACAAAAGAATATGTTGACAGTTTTAGGCAGGAAGATAGGAGTTTTCATGTATATAGTTGCCTAACCTCCATGCTGAAAGTCATGTTTAACCTTAAAGTTAGCCTTAATTAATCTTGTCAATTAAAAGTTATATATTACAATATAATTGATCCCCAAACTCATGCAAATAAAGTATTTTCATGCAGCATTAGTTTCATGCAAAAGTGAACTACAAGTAAACCTCTTCTCATTAACATATGCGACCAAACTTGCTTTATATCAGAACTGAAAACAAAAAACACACAGAATACCAGGCCTCACCTTTAAAGTATCCGCCATAGATGGACTCTCCACCTTTCCCGTTACCTGAAAACAAGGAACCACGATCAAAATTTAAAAACTCAACACATGAAAATTAGAATCTTTTAAACATCTACTCTGTGTGCGCGTGCGTGTGTGTTGGAGCAGTGTGGGTGTGGAAGTCAGAGGATAGCCTGCAGGAGTTGGTTCTCCCCTTCTATCACGTGAGTCTCAGGGACTGAACGCAGGCCATCAGGCTAGGTAGGTCACAAGTGCCTTTACCTGGTGAATACCTTGCCAGCTCCATCTGCTTTGCATTTTAAGACACGGTCTCACTACTGTAGGTCAGGGTGACCTTAAATTCAAAATCCCTAGCCTCTACCTCCCAAGTGTTGGGATTCTACGTGTACACCACCACATCCACCTCTATGACAATTGTTATTCTATTATGGCTGCAGTGCTTGAGATTGAAACCAGGGCCTGGTACACACCAAGGAAGTGTCCTACCATTCAGCTACACTCCCAGCCCAATACAATATTTTTGATGGCTTCAATACCCTGAAGGAAATCCTGAACCTTTTAATTGCTACAAAAACAAAACAAAAAAACAAAAAACCTGTGATTCCAGATACATTCAATTAATTTAATCTTTAAAATATTATAAAAAACACTATAACCCATTTATGTCACGTAGTAGTCACACTAAGAAATTTCTAGAATAACGGTAACTGGACAGTACTATGGTGTTCACTGGAAGGTAATCTATGAGATAATCATAATGTTGCTAAAATAAGTTACATAAACAAATCAAACATCAGTCTTATATTTTTTCACAAAATTCTAGATCTATAACATCTGTTCACCCAACAATGATGCACCAAGGACAATATTCACATCGTTCTGTGACAAGATATTATTCACAATTAAAAGCAACAATGAGATCTTTAAACACCGACGGATGATTTATTAGGAATATAACTTTAGCTCTACCTTCACTGAAGTCCCCACCCTGAATCATAAAGTTTTTAACCACACGGTGGAATGTAGAACCTTTATAACACAACTTCTTCCCAGTTGTTTTCCCAAGGCCTTTCTCCCCTGGGGAAGAAAAAAACAAGTTTAGCTACAAACCCATCACTCCATGGGAAAAAACAACAAGCTAATCTGCAGTCAAATCCCTCCCATGTGCTGATACCATGAGATGTAAGACACAGACAGATGACACAATGTGGGTAGCACACATATGTAACATACAAACCAAACTAAGTAACACAAAATCTAGAAACAATTCTGCGCTACAGGAGACAAGAATGGAGATGGATGAAATAAATTAGTTCAAATGTTGTGTCTCCTTATAGTCAAATAAAGGTTTTAAAAATGAAGTTTGCTATTTCTAATATTTAACATTTTCTCTTTTAATTCTGTTTGGCTAGGGTATGTGCAGTGATACATAATGAAAAGTAATATTATGCATTTATAATTTGAGGTGCTGAATCTATTTAAAGAATTAAAATTTGGATACAATTTTTCCAAGATAAATTAATTTTGAAGATGTCTTATTTGGCAAACTAATACATAAAGATTTTATTACATGAAACAGAATATTATCATTTTAAAATTTGTTTTCCTCCTGTCCTCTCAAGAAATGTTTCCTTCATTTTATATGATGTAATAATAACATTTTAGCTGTAAAACTCATTTCATAGACAATTATATTTTTATGAAAGTTCCCCTGGCTCAAAGCAGACATAGCTGCAAGCAGCCAGACATCCTTATTGAAAACAGGTTAAAACTCACTCACCTGAGCACAGGCACAGGAAGTTTTTGCATGTTTTTGGACATATGTCTGAGAAGAGCTGAAACATAATTCGACCAACTGAAACAAAATACACGAGGGGAAAAAAACAGTGAGCAAGTTAATACAAATATTTCATATAAGAACTTACTGGGAGACACCCAAGTAACAGTGAGTTTCTTCTTTATGTTTTAGAGATCACTTCCATACACGGTACTAAAACTCATGGCTCTAGCACAAAAACTGTACAATTTAAAGTGTTTTTTAATATTTTTAACAGAGCCTTCTTGTACATTAGACCCATTTAATACAGAATAACCCTTCTAAAAAAATCTGTTTGGTATTGCTAGGCTAAAGATCAAACCCATGCCTCATATATACAAAAGTGTTCTAGTATCGAGCTACATACACTCCTAGCTCCAAAGCATTCCTTTTTTTTTTTTAAGTTTGCTGAGACAGAGTTTTTCTCTGTAACCCTGGCTGTCCTGGAACTCACTTTGTAGACCATGCTGGTCTCGAACTCACAAAGATCCGCCGGCCTCTGCCTCCTGAGTGCTGGGATTAAGGTAGTGTGTTACTCCCCATCCCCCACACTGCCTCAAGTATTCTTAATTAATAGTTGTATGACCCATTAGGCCCTGTCAGTGATGGGCACAACCTCCTTAAGAGTCTATTTGCCAAGTGCAGTTAGAAGGAAAGCTCGGCCATGCTTTCTGGAGCTCAAGTTCCACTCCCTGAGAGCCAGGGGAGAAAAGGTTGCTCAGAAGACACCACAACAATAAAAAGGAATACACTATGCCCTGGAAAACAGTTCACAAATTCTGGTCTCCATATTCTTCTGAACTGTTTTAAATTACCATGCTGTTGTTTATGGGTTACACTTGTTAATTGGCAATGTATAAATCAAAACTAAGACTTTTTTTGTTTGTTTTTTGAGACAGGGTTTCTCTGTGTAGCCCTGGCTGTCCTGGAACTGGCTCTATAGACCAGGCTGGCCTTGAACTCAAAGATCTGCTTGCCTCTACCTCCCTGAGTGCTGGGATTAAAAGTGTGCACCACCTCCATTCAGCTTGTGAATTACTTTTGCTTGTTTGTTTTTTGAAGATCTTCCTGAAAGTGTAAATCCTGTTTTAGTATTATCATTAAAAAAAAAAAAAAAAAAATTCTGGCAAATGCCTTTAATCCCAGTACTTAGAAGGCAGACCTCTAAGCTCAAGGCCAGCCTCTACAGCGTGAATTCCAGGACAGGTAGGGCTACACAGAGAAACCCTATCTGAAAAAGCAAACAAGAAACCAGTGCTGACTGTACAGACCTGTTGAAAGAGTCTCAGTGAAAAGATTTTTAAAGTTTATTACATTTCCTTTACTTACTGGTGGGAATGGTATGCATGTATTTCAGGGCATGTATTGAGGTCACAGGACAACATGCAAGAATACATTTTCTCCTTCCACTATGTGGGTTACAGGGTTCAAGCTCAAAGCCGTGTCTCTGGCCCCCAAGAAATGGAGTTTTAGTTTACAATTCTCCTCTCTCAGTCTACAAAATCTTTTCCCTTATGGACATTTTATTTAAAGAGACAGACAGGATAAATCAAACTGAACTGTAGATCAAATGTAAGTCATGCTTAGAATAGACACAGACTGTCCTTTCTTGCACTATGGACACCTATCATGGACACTCTAGACAGGAGAAATTCCTGTTGGGTTTTGAAGCCAGCCTACTCTACAAAGCAAGTTCCAGAATAGCTAGTGCTGTTACAGAGAAACTTTGTCTCCAAAACAAAACAAAACACAAACTGTAGAAATCTTGTCTCAAGGAAAAAAAAAAAAAAAAAAGTGCTTCCTATTCTTGCAGAGGACCAGGGTTCTGCTTTTAGCACCCACACCTGGTGGCTCACAACTACCAACACTCAGTCCTAAGAGATTGCAGCGTAGTACTCACTTAGGCGGCAGAAGCAGGTGGATCGCTGAGTTGGAGGCCAGCTTGATGGTCTACATAAGATAGCCAGAGCAACAGGGTTTCTCTGTGTATCCCTGGCTGTCCTGGAACTCCCTCTGTAGACCAAGCTGGCCTCAAAGTGCTAGAATTAAAGGTGTTTGCCACTACACTGGCTTCAACCTAGGCTTTCTTAAGATCATAGTAACATTTAAATCAAGTGGATTTGTTTTTTAGTTTTCCGTTTTCCCCTAAAATTCACAAGGCTTTAAAACAGTGGTTCTCAATCCTCCTAATGCTGTTACCCCTTAATAGTTCCTCATGCTGTGGTGAATCCCAGTCATAAATTTATTTCCATTGCTACTTCATAACTGTAATTTTGTTACTCTTATGAATCATAATGTAAATATCTGTGACTTCCAATGGCCTTAGGAGACCCCTGTGTGTAAGGCTCATTTGTCCCCAAAGGGGTTAGGACTCACAGGTTGAGAACCACTGCTTTAAAATGAAAGCTGATGAAAGTTTCCTAGTAACACAATAAACCTGAAAATATGAACATCTCTAACATTCAAAGATGTAGGCCTAACTACAATAACCTAACTTGATGCAGAAAATTTTCAATTGGATTCTTCATCTGAGGAGGCAAGGTTTCGTGAAAAAGATTTGTCTTGTCTATAGCACATTAAGACTGGAGGAGAGACAAAAAATAAAACTGGTATGATTTTAATTTGGTGCAAGGTTAAAAACACTGCCATATCCAGCTAGAGATAGCTCAGCAATCAAGAATCCTGGCTGCTCTTACAGAAGACCCAGGTTCAACTTCTAGCACCCCCTGGTAGCTCACAGTAACTCCAGTTCCAAGGGATCTTATGCCCTCATGCCCTCTTCTAGCCTCCAAAGTGCTGGGATTAAAGGTGTACACAGACATACATGCAGACAAAATACCCATGCACATAAAATATAAATAAAAACAAAGCAAATTGCTATCAGCAGAAAAATGTGTTTTAAATATCCTAGAGCAATGATTATCGACCTATGCGTCACAACCCCTTTCGGGGTCACATATCAGATATTATGCTATCAGCTACTTACATTACAATTCACAACGGTAGCAAAATCACAGTTATGAAGTAGCAAGGAAATAATCTTATGGTTGGGGGTCCCCACAACATGAGGAACTGTATTAAAGGGTTGCAATGTTAGGAGGCTGAGAAACACTGCCCTATGGCAAGGTCTGGGGAGATGATTCAACAGGCAGAGCACTTACACCACAGTATGAAGGCCTAAATTTGAATTTCCAAAAAGCCAGAGGCAACACCCCCCACCCCCCACCCCCTAGGATAAATGGATTAACCCAATCAGGTTCCTAATGTATGGCAGCACATTAGGCACATACTTTACCACTGAAAGAGAAGTCATGGTTTATACCTATAAAGAGGTATGTATAACTTGGCCAGGCAGTGGTGGTGCACGCCTTTAATCCCAGCACTGAGGAGGAAGAAGCAGGGGAATCTGTGAGTTCGAGGCCAGCCTGCTCTAAAATTACACAGAGAAACCCTGTCTTTTTAGAAAAGAGAGGGTGGGGAGGTATAGTTTGAGTTAGTTCAGGAAAATCCTATACAGAAATTGACCACTGTAAAAACAAACAATATCAACTTTAACTAAGCTCATCTGTGGAACAAACTAGGCTTTCAAAAAACAGCTTAATGGAATTGTATTACTTTATAGGAAACAGGTACTATTTGATACTTTCAGTTTTTGGAACTTGGAACAGAGGCATTCTGAAGATATAGTCTCTGAGGAAAGTAAGTAATATGCTTCAGTAGTTTATTTCCAGTGACAGGCATTAGCTCTGGTCATGAAACATACCCAGAAGAAAAGAACAGGGCTCAGAGTGGGTGAGAAGGGAGGGCTGGGCACACAGCTCAGTAGTGGAGCAGTGGTTAGGATGCCTGATGCCCTGGGTTTGATTCCAGTGTCAAATGTAAAAGATGAAGGAAGGAAACAAGATGTAAACATTGTCCCCGTAAGTTTCTATAAACACACACACACACACACACACACACACACACACACACACACCAATAAAAACTTCATTCATTAGCCTCCAGCACCTGCACTCTTGACACTTTTTGAGACATGGTCTCCATTGAGATGCTCAGGTTGGCCTCAAGGTTCAAAGGCAATCTGTAGCTCAGGGGGACCTTAAATTTAAAACTTCCAGTCCAGGCCAAATTCTTAAGAAAACTAAAAGAGGAGCTGTTGACATGTCTCAGCAAGTCAAACAAGACAAGAGTCTTGTGACCTCAGTTTCTTAAAAACACAGAATCGTGTTTGGAACGTGCTTTGGTGACCCTCCCAGATGTAATAGATAGCAGTGAGTTCACTTAGATTATTGATTACAACTGGCTATTATTCATTCATATGCCTCTATGGGAAAACATGTTTTTGCCATGAGTGTCATGTCCTTGTGACTGTTCCTAACCCTCAGAGTATAAATTCCCTGGTGCTCTGGATAAAGCTGACTAGTGCATGAGACTTTAGTCCACCTCATTTTTAGGCCCTACTCCCCCAGGTCCACACTGCCATTAGAGTGGTAAACAACACACTTTCCAATCAGGAGTGAAACATGAGTTATGACTATAGACCATGGCAAATAGTGCCTATGCACACAAATCTGACAAGTCAGATAAATGCATTCGTTTCTTAAAAGCTACAACCCACCGATACTATATCAGTAAGTAACAGACATGGAGTGAATACTGTATCAAAGAAATTAAAAACTTAAGATCCTTAATAACAAAAAAACAGTCACAGCATTATTTCCAATAGGAACAATTTATTGACTTCATACAGAAAACCTATTATACAATGAATGTATAGGTTTACTCCCTTTAAATCTGTATTTGAATGCATTCAATAGTTTTATAATTCAAAAACCAATCTGTTTTGCTTTTGTATTGGTGGTAATTGAAAATACACACTAAGTGTACTCAATTCTTATCAGTATATCTTGATTTCTCTATCAAAGTAACTCAGATACTGTATCTGTGATGCTGAGTGAACTTGGAGCCTTACACATAACAGGCAAGTATTCTCCACACAACTATACTCCTGTCTGATTAGTAATTCTTCACAAGGATCT